CACTCCCACAGGCGGCCATGGTGGTGGAGGGGGTGGCAGGGGGGTGATGGTGGCCAGTGGCGATCAGTGTCCATCTGCAGACGCCGCTAGTGGTGTTGGCAGTGGGGGGTGGCAAGTGGCGACCACCAGCAGCGTTGGCCTTTCAGGGGGCGCACCACCAATCTCAGGGGTGCGCTCCCTCCACGTTGCCAACGTCTTTCACATACTCCTGCACTTACACTTTTGGGCCACGACCCACGGGCTGACAAATGCCGATCCAGTCCAGCCCCCTGCTCCAAGCACGACCAGCGCCAGCTCGAGCAGCCCAGCCCTCACCCACCCCATCCGAAAGGATGAAACTACTTGGGCAGCAAACGCCTGGGGAGGGGAGAGAACCTGCGCGAACGAGCCCCCAAAGATGCCCGTCGCCTAGCCCCTCACGGGGCTGCAGGACACCTCCGGGTCCTCTGCAGGCTCCCGCACCGGCAAGTTGGCCCCAGGTCTCGGAGCCCCGCTTCGTGCGACGCGGAGAGAGCCAGGAAGTTACTCACTGCAAAGCCCCGGGGGAGCCCGAGCCCCCATCTCGCCACCCAGCCGCTCCGGGTCGGGCTCAGGCAGCGCCGTAAGCGCCTCAACCCCGCGGCGCGCCAAGTAACTTGGAGGCGGCGGCTAGAGCCGGGACCGCAGCCGCGACACCGGTGCGCTCTGCCGCAGCGCTCAGCGCCCCACCTGCTCCGCGCCCGCCAGCCCTTACCTGGGGTCGGCATCGGCGGCCCCCGCGCAAACTTCCCCGCGGCTGCCGGAGCCTCCAGCGCCTTCCCCGGCTGGAGCCGCCCCCCTCGCCCCGCCCCGCCGCACAGGGCGCCCCGCCCCGCCCGCCTAGCCGGAGAAGCCTGCTACGCGCCCCCAGGGGCTCAATGCATCCCCAGTCCTGAGCTCCCCCTTCCCCCGCGGCGGGCGATCCCCGCCCGAGCCTGCTCTTCCTGAACAGCAGCCTCCTGGGAGCATGGATGTGGGGAGAAGTTGTACTCCGAAACTTTTGGCCTGTCACGGAGCCTGACAGTCAGGGCTTCTGCACTTCTTAGGCTCCGTGGACCTGAGCCCCCCACCCTGGAAATGGCCAGCTCCTACTTCTCACTCTTTTGGCCACTAGGGAAAAATGCTGGAGCGGCTCTAGTGTTGCCGAGATCACGGCCCCAAATTGCCTCAGCCCTCCCCACACCTGTGGGCATCGCTCTGGGTTTACCTCGTGGCCGCCTGGTGCGGACACGCAGGGGGATGTAGGGTTGCCTTCGTAGAGCGCGGTCTGGTTGTCCTCCATTGATATGGAACCCGACGCCTGTACGTCCTTTATTTTCCAGCTTCAAGAGAAAAATAGAGGACATAAAGGCATCCAGTTTTGTATAAACAGAGGAGCAGAAAACCGGGATATCCTCTATGATGGGCACCCTCAGGACACGTGGTGCCACAGACCCATCTGCAGAACCATACACCACATCCGCAGGTGTTTCCTGCTTTGCTACCTTGCCCCTGGAGATCCTGGAGTCAAAAAAACCCCATGACAAAAAAAGCAGGGCAGGATATGTGGTGGGAGTCTGCATGGCCCAAAACTGGAGCCTGGCTAGCTGGAGCCATGCTCCAGCTGCCAGCCAGGCTCCCAGCTGCAGAAGCACTGCAGCTGCAGCTCCCTGAGGCCCCCAGGAGACCAGGTAAGGCTACCCGGGCCAGCATAGCTGCTGGCCCCAGCTTCCCCTACCCCACCCAGGGTAACCTGTCGCACGTCAGAGCACGTGTGGCACAAGCCCAGCGATAAGTAGCAGTGGTGCAAGGTGTGTCGCTGCTGCTTGTCCCAGGAGAAACAAAGTCCACACTCATCTGGATGCAGCTCTTGAGTCCTGTTAATCTTATGCCAAATCCTTGTAATGGATCTTAAGGCACCCTAGTTGAGACTCACTGCCTTAAATGGATCAGCAAAGAGCTCCAGACCATAAACCCCATTTATTCAGACATCGCCTGCTCCTGTGTGAAGTGGAGAATGTCTAATACTGGGCAAGATGAACCTAAGGGTTGACTCAGTACCTGGCACTTCTAGCTCTTATGCCTGGCTAAACCGGGTGGTGCTACATGCACTCATGGTAGCCTGCTCCTGAAGATGGAATGGTAAAAATTAGGACCCAGATGGATAAAGCACAATGTTCCACCAGCCCTTAATTAAAATTTGCCTGCAAAATCCACATAAACTTTTAAAGAGCTTCTCCCTTCCTCCATCACTTAGAACATTAAACACATTAAGGAGTTTTGTTTACTTTAAAATCAATTAAACAAGCCCAGTGCAGCTTCCGTACAATATCAGATGAATGTGTATGAGCTCTGCCATATGAAAGTCGTAGTAAGCAATAAAAAGAACAGGCTACTGTGGAAGGCATAGGAGTAACAGGATGGTATTGCTAGTTACAAACTGCGTTTGCTATTGCCCATAATAGAATTCATTGCAATTTCTGCAGTAAACACAAGGAAAAAAATTGAAAATACCTTAATAATGAACATTTATTTAGCACTTTACCTCTTCAAAGTGCTTTCCAGAGATTATCTATCTAATCCCGAAACATAGGCAATTATTTATTTATTATGCCTTGATAGACAAGCAATTTTGCTCAAATTTCCTTAAGTAATTTGCACTAGATTGTTAGAGCAAGGATCTATTTTCCAGACCTGTGTCCAACCACTTGTTTCCTTTTTCTCTCTCTTGAGGCATTCCTTGCAGAACTGTGTATTTATGTGGCACTTAGACCTTAACCACACATTGACTCATGGTCCTGTCACTTATTTACTTTCACAAAGCAACCAGAAGCACTGGTTCAGAGCAATTAATAACTAAATGCAATTTAAATTTCCTGCAGGATGAACTATACAGAATACAGTTATCCAAAACACAGCTTAGCCAGAACATACAGGTAAAGATGAGCCATGGGCTGTTCCACAGCCAAAAGCAGCCAAGACCTTGGTTTGGTGTAGTGCAGTTCCTTGTGGGTTTTTTATTTAAGTACTAACTCATTGTGATCCTACTTAGTATATGCTGTGTGAACAGATACAAGCAGAGCATGTGACAGAATGACCTCTCAACTTCCACAGTCACTCCTCCTGTCTCCTAGCACAGAGAACTTAGTCGCAGTTCATTATAGAGGCTGGCGGCTGAAAGAAAAGACCCAGAGAATTCTTTGACCCTGAAGCAAAATCTCCTTTTGTTTTTTTTAAGCAAACAAATATGACTCCCTGCTTCTGAAATCCTGCAGTCATAGCTCAAAGACACACATAACAGTTAGCAAGTTCAAAATTAATGGGCCTCTATAAAAGGTATTTGTATAAGTTTTCTGTGGTTTTCCTACTGCTGAGAGCTTTTCTCTGCCTAATTAAATTGACTGCTACCTGATTAGGATAGCTGTGCTCCTTATAAAAAATTATAGCAGAAGATTTATACTAGATTTCTATTGGTTCCATTTGGTCAGCTAAATTTCGGAACAAAGCAACAGACCTATTAAACTATTGTTCCTAGGACAATGCTGACTAATTGAAATATTCTAATAGAGCTTGCTGAAACTCCTAATAAGGCTATTTTGAATACCGTTACTTTCATTTTGTAGGACAAATTGGAAACAGATCTTACTTTGGCCAGATCTACTCAGAAGCTACATATCAGAACCCATCATCTGATTAAAATCTATATAAAGTGTGTGTGAGATCAGGTGCTTTCATCTTTTCAAAGAAAAAGGAAAGATACTAAATGCCTTGTAACAAAGGCAAATTTTGTTTAGCAACTTTTTTAAAAAGTGTTCTTAGCTGACATATAGGTGTTCCCCTAAGCAGACAAAACAAAAGGTGTATTTGAACTAGAGTCTGAGGAATCTTCCTGAGATTAAAATTTTATCACAGTGGTGAAGTTAGATCCTGGGGCTAATATGCAGGGAGTGTGCTTGCCTTGTAAATACAACAAGAAACTTTTGGGCCAAGTATGGACCTTACACTTTTACCGGGATATGTGACTGGAAATCAGTCTATACCTGTAACAGAACAGAAGTTCAGCACACACAGACTGGTTTAAAAGTGGCAGAACCCAGTCTAAGATTTTCCCTCCTCACCAAACGGTGAATGTCTGTTCTGTTCCCTACAGATCTAAACTGTGCCACTTTCAGAAGACCCCATAACTTAAACTGATTCCACATCAGTCTTTCTGACTATCTATACCTAGCCTTTGAGGTTTGGCACATGGCAAAAGAAAAACAATGTAGACAAGAGTGATAGCAGACTGCTGGATTGGTGCAACTTCCATATCTCAAAATAGTTTCTTGCTAGCATGGTGGCTCTTCCAGTCTTCTTGCAGATGGCAGATAAATGGTTAAAAGAAAATGTCATCTTTTGAAAGCAGTAATGATGGTTGTTGGCCAAGTTTTCTCAAGGTAAATAATATGAGAAATTGTGGCCTTGTCACAGAAGGAAGGTGCAAATCATGAGTTGATAGTAAAGCCTACCAAACTTACAGATGCTATTATTTAAACTAAATTATCTGTTATTTTGCAGTAAAACCAGTCCAAGGCTACTGAAGACTACTCGACTGGTGAACTGCCAGCACAAATGAAAGAAGATAGACAAAGATAACCATAGCTATCCTTTGTCATCACTGGTTCTGCAAAGCTAGCAGGCATGCTGAACAGACTTTTCTTCTATACAGACTTTCCCCCACCAAATCTTAAGTAGTTACAGGACCTGTGACTGCTTTAACAAACCACTGTCCCTAATTGGCTCTTCTGTTGTCTCAGCCTTACATATACCCCAGGTTTCATTTTGGCAGTTTTCAGCAAAATGGGCTTATTCACTTACACAAACATAAAAATGGGCACATGTACACAAGATGTTTACTGTGGAGCTGACTAATTAGTGCGCGTGGTGCTATTAGGCTGGAGTAAATTAATCAACTCTGCTGTAGAACAGTACTGCCAGACACAAGTGCCATCTTATAGTGGAGTTATTTACTCTGTCACAATGCACATGTAGATGCTGATGGCACTAGCTGGGATACAAAGGTACTTCAGTATGGGGACTGCCTGATGCTCTGTAGCACCCTCAGGCAGCTCCTCTGCAGCATGTTGATCTGGGCCAGAGCAGCCCCAGCCTGGCAGGCTGACTCCCAGGGCTCCCTGCCAGCCGGGGTTGCTCCACCCCAGCTCAATGTGCTGCAGTCCTGGGTGCACATGAAAACACTGCACCCAGAAGCAATAAACTCTGGCACAGACTGTGCCAGAGCTTATTCAGCTGCGTTAATAGCATGTGTAGATGTGTGTACCATGATTTCTGAGTTTCATCAAAATGCGTTTCATCCCTAAAGGTTTCTCTAGTCGGTACCACATTGTGGATGTGCACCTGCAGTTCAACATGGATTTGAGGTTGATCTAAAATTCAGAAGCACCAATGCAATTTACTTCAGTGAATTACCAAGATATATCACACTAGTGCTTCTTGAATTTTACATCAACCTCAAATCCATGTTGAACTGCAGGTGCACATCCCCAGTGTGGTATTGGCTAGAGAAACCTTTAGTGATGAAACACATTTTGAAATCATGCCTTCCAATCTCGTGAGACAAAAGCAGTAACACACATTTTGGTTTTTTTGAGTTAATTTATAGCTGGTGCAATTATAATACTAGCAATATTTTAAAAAATTGTTTGCTACTGATTTGTAAATGTATATGTAGCAGGATGGGAGGCGAGTACTTCCTACTGCTTGATTCTGTGAGTTGAATATACAGTCTACTTCTGCCCTGCAATCCTTTAACTATGATA